GTCTATTCGAGTTGTGTGAACCATAGGGTTAGGAGATTGATCACCTTTCTAGCCTAGATAATCAACGTGTAGAACCGAGAGGGGAGACGTTGGTAGAATTAGGCTCGTTTAGAATAGATTTGTTCGGAAGCGTATAATCTACGAGTTGTTGGAATTGATAGTTAATCATTAACGTTCACTCTCTTGTTACGAAGAGTTATTGAGAGTGAACCTCTGAACGAGAAACGACTCAAGACCTTTAACCGAGCAATCGAATGCCGGTGATTGTGTTAGAACCGAAAACAATTATCCCCGATTCCCTAGCACTTTCTTCAATCAGAAAATTCATTAGCTATTTGCCTTCATTTAATATAGTTTGCATCAGTAGTTGGTAATTGAAACCCCAAATATTGAAATAGAGTGTTTAGGAATTTTTCTTCTATTTTTCGTGACTGAATATACGCACAAGAATATCCGGCTAACCTTCCTTGCGATACGACCGGGGACGAATCTTTCGATTCTACTCCGGTAAAAATACTTACAACACATACTTTCTAAAGAAGCAATAGTGATCAGCATTGCACTTCTGGAAACCTTTCTTGTGCATGAAGCTTTCAAACTTCCTATAGTGGTCTTGGAGCTTGTTTCAGGCCGTACAAGCTCTTCTTCAATTTGCACACCATATCCTTCTTTCCTTCTGAAAAACCTTCAGGTTGGTGCATATAGATCTCCTCATCCAGGTCTCCGTGAAGAAATGCGGTCTTCACATCTAATTGCTCTAGGTAGAGCTCTTTACTAGCCACAATACTTAACACAGTTAGTATTGAGCTTTACAACTGGAGCAAAGATTTCAGTATAGTCAACTCCTTCTTTCTGTTGAATTCCTTTGACAACCAGTCGGGCTTTGTATCTCCTGGAACCATCATGGTCTTCCTTCACCCGATACACCCATTTGTTGTGAAGTGCTTTCTTTCCCATAGGTAACTTGACTAGTTCCCATGTCTGATTTGAGATCAATGACTTCATCTCGTCCTTCATGGCAAGCTCCCACTTGCTAGCATCTGTGGTTTGACAAGCTTCTATGTAATATTTAGGCTCCCCTCCACCAGTCAGCAGCATGTAGTCCATGTATCTCCTGTTAGGCACATGGGGCCGAGAGGACCTTCTCAATACAGGAGGTTCTGATTGCACATTACTTTCTTCATTTGATTCCTCTGACTGAGGACTCCTCATTATAGAACTGTCTGGGATATCTTCCACCTCAGCATAAACTGGCCCACTTGCTTCTGAGTTGCTGGCACCTGTATTATATCGGTCCTTGTACATCACTCTTTCATTAAAGATGACATCTCTGCTGCGGATCATCTTTTTATTTTCATCATCCCATATGCGGTAGCCAAACTCATCTTCACCATAACCAAGGAAGGTACACTTCTATGATTTTGTATCAAGTTTATTTCTACTTGATCACTGATGTGCACATATGCTACACACCCGAAAACTCTAAGATGTGAGAGTTTTACTTCTTTTCCGCTCAATACCTCTTCTGGTAACTTGTGATCCAACGGTACCGATGGACTTCGATTGATCAAGTAAGTTGCTGTGTTGAATGCTTCTGCCCAGAACTGCTTTGGTAAGCCTGACTGCACACACAAGCTTCTGGCTCTTTTAGTCAACGTTCGATTCATACGCTCAACTACACCATTGTGTTGAGGCGTACCAGGCACGGTTCTCTCCATTCTGATCTCGTGCTCATAGCAAAACTTCTTGAATCTGGTGGTTACGTATTCACCACCATTGCACGGTTTTCTCCTTTATTGTTTATAATCACATTTGAAATTTGAGTTTACTTGTTAACTAATATGTGTTTAATTCCTCTATTACAGAAGCATCCAATATGGATCAACATAGCAAAGCGAGCTCAGGCTGCCGACGTGAGCTAAAGGAAAAAATTAATGTAGCGGGGATTTTCTCAATGAGAACAACATAGTCGAAAGGTCAACTTGGGAGATTGTACTTCTATGCGTTCTCTCACATTGTAACAATTACTTTAAGGGTTAAAATTTAAGAGGCTATTAATATCAAACTTTAACGCTTGAGGCCTTTGTGTTGTCGGGTGCAAAATTATGTGATTTGATGTTTTTAGGCATTTAGTGAATGTAGTGTGATTATTTGGACCATGATAGGTCAATATGGTACATATGTACTTTCCTGGATTTTGGCTTCATATTGATTGAGGTTGTATTTTGTGTCATTCTTCGTACTGTAATAGAAGCCTATGGTTGTGAACATCATATTGTGTCGGCTTTTTGGATTAGTTTGGTCTAGTCGAACCTTTGCAATGCATTCAGTTGGTGTCTGTAAACAGGTGTAGTGTGATTATTATAATGTTTAGTTTGGTCTAGTCGAACCCTTGCAATGCATTCGATTGATGTCTGTAAACAGGTGTAGTGTGATTATTATAATGTTGCAGTGAATGCATGTAGCTTATATTCTTCTCTATCGCTGACTGTTTTGTTATTGATTTAAATTGTACAAAATTTTAGACTAAATTTGAGCCGACTGTGCACGAGAGGACTAATAGATGTTATATATTTCGAGACTAGAGAATCAAATTGAAGCTGAAGCTACAGAAATCAACCTAAAAGTAACTGCCTTTTCTTTTACCAATCTGTCAGCAGCTATGGAGTTGTCAAAATAACAAGGTTTCGCCTACTTTTCACTACTAAAGTTTCATGCAATTATATTATATGTTGCTTCTGTTAAGAACAGGGTAAATTATGATCTCCAAAATGCTAACTGCTAAAGTATCCAATTTGATAAGTAATGACATAAATAGCTCATGGCCGGGTTTAATGCACCAAACCCCCCTGTATTATACGAAATCTGCGAGTTTCTCCCATATATTTTAAAAATTGCGTCAAACCCCCTTCTATTTAGGTTTTGTATGCGCGAAACACCCAAAATTTAGACGTTTTAGGGTGTTTCGCGCATACAAAACATTAATAGAAGGGGGTCTGATGCAATTTTTAAAATACAGGGGGAAAACGCACAGATTTCGTATAATACAAGGGGGTACTGTATATTTTACCCGCTCGTGGCCTAACTTTAGGTATGAAGAGACAAAAATATTCCCTTCTTGACAAAGATTTATCCTTCCTATGTTTTGATCATTCGGTTGGCCACCTCAGATGGAGCATCTGTTCACTTCAGACATGCATTTTATGCTATTTAGAAGCAAGATTAAATAGTTTCTAATCAAGCCAGTTAACAAATCAAGCATATACATTCAGAAAATAAAAGAAGTTAAACTAAATTTGTGAAGCAAATAGAGGACTTCAACAAGTCAATAGGGATAAGATCATCCAGAGCAATTAGTCCAAAAGCTTTTCAGAAAATAAAAATTCGATAGTTTGATTTCATTCAAATTTATTATAAATATGAATCCTACAGCGTGAGGCCACCGGGCGATGAACCATATATCAAATTAAGAATCATGCTACAGTAACATAAAGGTTGACATACACTTTCACATAATACACACGTACTATGATCTGATTATTTGACACATCACGTCATCTTTAAATTCAACTACTATAAGACTACATCATCTATGTCAGAGTTTATTTCACTTTTTATGTGTCATTTTCCATCAATAAACATCAAATCTCAAGGAAGAGTTTGCAAGCTAGAGCAGCAGTATGCAACTCGAATCCATAATGCACAAACAAAACAACAATATTCCATAATTGATGACTCGAACCAGCGATCAAATAACAGTAACACACAGAAAAGAAAGGAAAGAGAAAAATAAATTAAATTAATCACAGCACCCATCTTTTCAGTAGGGAATTTCAGATGAAATGAAAAGCTGGTGATTCTTCACTGGGTAGCTTCACCGATGCCATGACTTCGGCTAGGAAATACTTTATTAAAAAGTGAAGAAACTCCAAAAGAAATGAAGAGTGAATATAGGATGCAAAACGAGACCTAAACATTACCTGAATAAGATTCTGTTAGGCACTACTAATTAAGAGATGGCAAAACGTTCCATGAATTGAAACGTAACTTTAATTAGTTTAAAAGTTCTAGAGATCAACAAATATGGAAATTTTCCACGAAATCGGTATTGAAAATTCTTACAATAGCGTAATATTATACCGCTGCACGGCTTTTCAAACTTTTAGTGCTACGCTCGACTTTTAACATTAAAATTCAAAGACCTAAAATAAACAAATATTGTATTTTCATGCAAACCATTCGACATGATTCTATTATTATGAATATTTGCTTTCGTGCTAGCTCAAAGAACAACAACCGTCGATGTATTGTCTTTTCTTATGATGCCTGAACAATTATCAAAATTATCTTCTTCCCTTTCCCCATTCACTCAGCATTTCTTTGACAGATATTACACCCATAACCAAATTGCAAGTTCCCCGAGTCTTTTCATAGAAACTACAAAAACATGGAAATGAAACTCCCATCAAGTTATCACAAAAAACAGTGCAAAAGACAGAAGCATATACATCTACGACGTGACCGAAAATAGTAAATAGTTTATAAAAAACTGAATATATCTCAACATTCGTTCTAAAAAGTACTTGCATCATTCACATGTCGAGCACAACAACTACTCGCCATCAATGTTGAATAAAGTACTTGCATCATTTCCATATCGAGCACAACAAATACTCGTCATCCATATCAAACCAACCAAGCCAGCAATCAGTTAAAAAATTTCTCAACTACACTATGTAAATAATAAATCAGGTATATATATATCAAGACCAAATATTTACAATTCAGTCCTACATACATACAGTAACAACTAAAGGATAACTGCAACATCAGAATCAATTAAGCAAATAAATGACAAACATGCTATTTGAAGTTCAATTAGACTATATATATATGATTTACAGTTCAATCCCATGTATAAACAGAGTATTAGCCCGACTTATCAACTCTTCAACATTAAGCCCCCAATAGACTCCCAATGAACATTCAGTTGAACCAAATCAATCAAGAAAACCAATCTTTCGCCAAACGGCATTGCGCACCTGCCTGAGATCCCTCCCTTTCAATGTCCGGCCAGCACCCTCCATCACTGAGCAGGCCGCCCGCGGCGGATGCCTGTCTGCCACCACCTCGTGTGGCGGGAAAACCATCTCGTCCTCGTCTTCTTCCTCTTCCCCTTCAGAAATGGCGTCCTTTATCTCCATCGCCCTCCTCTTCATCAACGCCGCCGGCACCACCGGAATATTCACCGGCGCAGATCGAGGACGGAACCGAGCCCTGGCCCCTTCAGCCGGCGGCGGCTTTCGGATCGTTAGAACAGGCGTGGCCGAGGTTACAGGGGAGGCCTTGTGGTTGAAAACGGGCCGGGTATTCAACCCGGCCGCAGATCGGGCCGTGTGGCTGATGGTTACGGCGGCTAGGATGCCGTATTGTTTGGGGTTCGTGGTTGGGGCGGGTTTTGGATCCGGATTGAGGGTCGGGCGGGTCGAAGAAGGGGGCAGGCATTCTAAGGGAGTGTCGAAAATGTCGTGCTCTGAGAGTTCGAGTGGGGGTGAGGGGGAAGAGGACGGTGGCTGCTGCAGCATGGCCAGGAATCTATCGCCGGACGGATAGTGGCGGCGGCGGCGGAAACGAGTGTTGCCGCCAGGAAGGGGTTCCATTGGGGGCGAAATAAGAATAGAGTGCACTCCCAATGGGGACGAATCACGTGCGGCACTCGGCAGGGCTTACGGTGAGCATGTTTTGGACTACGAAGGGGGTGTACGGACGGATGATATTTATAGGGTGCGTGAACCCATAGAAAATATTTTTTTTTTCTTTTTCTTTTTCTTTCTTTTTTTTTTTAACAAAAAAGTTGCTACTTTACCAAAAGTTTTCGATATTGTTAATTTTTTTAAAAAAATTATAGTAATCTATAACAAGTGCAGATATTGATAATTTTAAAAACTATTTGGTAATATATAACGAGTGTATATTGTTAATTTTAAAAATTATGGTAATTTATAACTAAGGTAGATATTGTTAATCTTAAAAGCGGCGTAGCCAGAAATTTTTTTTACCCGGGGCTGCATATTGTTGTAGCTATTATTGGAACCGAGTAAACATGGTCATGGGTCGACCCAGCCTGTCGGTCCGGGCCGAACCGACACATCGACCCGTTGACCATGGGTCTTCAACCGGTCCGTGGTTTTGACCAGTTTGGTTCATGTACAATACTTTATAGTTTATACATTTTGAACCGGCAGTTTCGGTTCTGAACTTGAATCGGAACCCGAGGTTCGACTTTTTTTAAAAAAATATATATTATTTTTTAATTATTTTTATTTTTTTAGTGAACCGGACGACCAAGAACCGACAATTCAATGAACTGGCCTGTGCATATGTCCTCGCCGGTTCAGGGTCCTCCAACTCTCGGCCCAGGGCCCCGTAACCAGTTTTGATGATCATGACTAGAACAAATTATCTGTTAACATATGTCAGTTTGAATTGGAAAAATTCAATCTCGACTTGCTTATATATTTAAACAAGCTAAACCCAAATAGCTAATCGAACTTGTCGATCAAACAAATAGAGTCGAGCATGTTGCACTCAATTCTGTAAGAGTTTTTTAATTTATTTATCAAGGAATTGAGGCCGAATTAATTATTGGAGGCGAAATCAACAAAAAAAATAATAAATGAAAATGGATAACGGACTGTGCAATGAGAGGAACACAATTAAATAGCCCGCAAGAGAAGTTTGTGTCAAGCTTAATTATCTAGCTCATTTGGTATTTGTCAAGCCAACCCATTAAAAAAATTAAAAGGCAAGAGTGGGTTGGGCTACATTATAAACCCAATTAATAAAAATCTAATAAGGACACAATTGTCATCTAACAATAAATGATTATCTTTTTTTCTCTCACTACAATCATCACTTTTCCTCCATTGTTGTCATATGAAAAATTCCGATCTGAGTTTTGAGCCATCTAGCCCGAAATTAAAAGGGGCTACATAAAAATTAACATGGGGCTAATAGGATTGATGCATAAATTTTTTTAAAAATTAAGATTAGCAAAAAAAAAAAAAAAATTGGGACATGGGGCTGGAGCCCACCCTAGCCCTAGGGTGGCTCCGCCCCTGTATAAAAGTATATATTTATCATTTTTATCTGCTATATATATAAAAATAATAGGATAAAATGACATACTCGCACGCTTCGTATGCTTGCTGGAAAAAATTCATGTTTCCTATTGCACACAAGATATTACTAACCACATTTGAAAATTTTATTAAAACTGTTTTACCATTCATTTTCTTAAAATTACCATTATCATATACTCCATTTTTTTATTTGTTTTATTTAATTCATATGGTAATTATTATAAGTGTGTCATTTTTTAAAAAAAAAAATCAAACTTTTTTACTTGTATTTTATTTTTCGTATATGATTTATTATTAGTCATCTTTTAAAGATCTTCGAATTGATATTTATATTGCATATATGAAATAAAAATAATTTTATCAATCTTTAGAAATAAATGTTCCTTTTTTTATTAAAAAAATTTTATCATAGAAGATAAAATTACAAATTATCTAATAAAATAGTAAAATACATTTATTAATATTAATATATCACAAAATAATTATTTTAGAATATTTTTCGATAGATTAGAAAGAATGTGCAAGTCAGGTGTGAATGGATGATAAATATTATAAAAGTAACGTATCGATTAAAATAAAGTGCACATAGAGATTGAATCTTATTATAATGTTGAAAACAAAAATATAAATGAACTTTATCATTAAAAAACAAAAATAATTTTTTGTTTCATAGAGTATTCAAAAATAGTATACTTATACACACTAATTTACATTTTAAATTAAACATCTGACTGTATTTTCCAATTGAAACGGAATATTACTACCGAAGTTCTTTCAAAATTGCCTTTTATTCGTCAACATTTTTTATCACTACCTTTTTCGTTGAATATTATAAAGTAAAGATATATGAAAAATATAAGATCAAAGAGAACGACTATATAAGTATGAAAAATAATTACACAATAATCAAGCTTGGAAATTTTTTAATGAAATTCAAATACAGTTTGTGGAGTTGTGGATAGCATTTGTTTTATATATATAACTTTATAATTGTGTAATGTAATTTATGCTTTTACATACTCATACATATGATTTATAATATTATATACATATATATATATTTGTATATATGTACATAATTGAGCATTAATTGATAATATTTTGTTGAAGTCTATAATTGTACTTAACTTCATGAATATCCAATCGTAAATTATGTTTAGATTTTAGAGTAGGTCAACTCACTTTCATTAAATATGATTGCGAATTGCTAAAATGAATATCAACTTGAAAATTTGATTGACCACCAAAAATTTAAATCCAAAGGCAATTTGGTATAATAAGATTGAGTGGATCACATTTAAGGCAGAATAATAATATTACGGTTACTTTTTTCTTTCTTCAAATCTCCTCTATATATAATTTCAGAATATGCTGAGCTTACGTGGCAAATTCTAATGCTTCGTAATCCTATTTAGCAAAAAAATCATGCTTTAAAGTTAGACTTGGATATTAATACGATTTTGCTATGAAGCCAACAGTTGGCTCCACTACCATCTATATATAACAAATAAACCTACCATATTAATAAAATTATATTAATGTTATTTAAGTAATCAGAGAATATGGTAGGTTTATTTGTTGTACATAGAAGGTTGACTCTACTATGGAGCCAACTGTTGACTTTATAGCAAAACCATAAATTAATATTTGTATTAATTGTATTTTAATATCACTTCCTATTATAACCAATGAATTGTAAATATATTTTAAAAGTTGATAACTTTTGTATTTCTTATCGGTTTTACATATATAATATATCAAATTAATCATCTTTTGATGAACTTCGACTTGACATCTATATTGTATAAATAAATATGTTTAATGTAGTTATATGTTATAAGATAGAAAATTTATTATAATATAACACATATAAGTCGCACAAATAACATGTGTCATACTAAAATATATAATATATACTACCTCCTATTTTTATTAATTGTCACTTTGACTTAGTTGATCATTCATAAAATAAATATCGTGATATTTTGTTCAAATTTTTTCATTTTTAATCCTCCATTTCTCTCGCTGCCCTAATCCCAAATCTCTCGCTCTCGCCGGAAATTCACGCAGATCCCGTGCCTTCCCTTCGGCTTCCTTTCTTGATTGCCGTCGTCTCCTAACCAACCGGCCCCTCCCCTGTGTCGTGCCCCCCCTCACTATGCTCCGGTGTCCTTCGATCGACAGAGCTCGGTTCTTCTTCCTCGGCTAAGTCGAGCGGCTCCCCGATCGGCGGCGTCATAGTGGGGTTTTGGTGAGTTGCGGTGCGGTGGGTTGGGGTCTGGTCTGACTCCGGCGGATCGCGGTCTAGGGTTGGAGTGGCAGGGTTTGCTCAGGTGGGTCTGTTCGCTTTTTCTCCTCCTTGGTTCGGCTTGGCGTGGCTAATCGACATCCTCCTCCGTGTCGGATTCGGTTCAGCGGCTTTGGGCTGGAGTGTCGACTTCGGGCCGGAATTTCTGGCTTCGGGCTGGGGTTTGACTTCGGGCTAGAGTCTTCGGCTTCGCTGGTCGTCTTGGTAGAGCAGGGTGCGGTTCTTATGGACTGTCTCTTCTAGTTCTTTTGGTTGGGATAGAGCTGTTTCAGTGGACGGATTTTCCGGCAGCTCCGGCAACTTGCGAGTCCGGGCTGGTGTGGCCGGGGTTGAGACGTTGGGAATACTCCACTTCCCTCGATTCTCTGGTGTTGGGTTCAGGGGCGCTCGCCGTTAATATTGTGTCCGCTAGTGGTGTTAGTCGGCCCGATATTGCGGTGGTTGGGAGTTTTCTTGATGTTTTCTGGCTATGGGGAGAATTGGCTGTGGGTGTATTTTGATGCTTGAGATTAGGCTCAACTAGGCAGTTAGGCAGTGGAGGGGTCGAATTTCTCGGGCTGAGGGACTTCCATGGCTGGTTTTGTGACTTCAAGTCGGGTTTGGATTTGTCGAAGTGGAAGGGCTTTAATTTCCTTTTAGTTTCCTTCATGTTTTGTTTCTTTGTTTGTTTTGTGTGGTAGGTTGGTGTTTTTGGTGTGGGCTCGTTGCCTGTGTATCAATGTTGTGTTTTTGGTTTGGGCCGTTGGCCCCTGTGAGCCCGAGTGTCAAACTTATTACTCCGTGGGGGTCCGACACTCGGGTATTACTCCGTTGGGGGTCTTGTTTAGTTTTGTTGGTGTAGCTGGTTTAGTGTGTTGTCCGAGTATTACCCCGTTGGGGTCGGCTCTAGGCGATCTCCGGATCTGCCTCCCAGTTTTCTAGTCTCTGGTTGTACTATTCAGTCTTTGGCTGCTTTTCTTCGCACTTTGTGCGATTTTCTTAATATAGTACCTCTATCGTTTCGGGAAAAAAAAAAAACTTATGGAAATTGCGACTCATTATTTATGGAAGTAATTAAGTCATATTTTAAGATACCTTGAATACTCAAATCATGTCAATTAATTAATATATGGTATAAAGTGTTTAAGGGAGTAATTAAGCCATATTTTAAGATACTTTGATTACTCAAATCATGTGAATTAATTAATATATGGTATAAAGTGGATGAAATAATTTTTGGTATTGGTGGTTGTTTCTATGGTAAATAAATTAATCAAAATATGGTATAAATTGAACAAATTTATTTAGGTTATTTAATGACTGTTTTTTGGTAGGAAATTTTAAATTTGTTGAAAAATTAATCAATATACGGTGTACTTTTTCTGCAATGCGTATGCCAATATATTGATTTTTAGGCGTGAGTTTCAATTTTTATTTCATTTTTTTGTGTGAAAGTAACATAATAAAATTACCGTAACTTCGAAAAAATAATATGAATGGATATTTTGATATAATGTGTGTATATCGATTTTTTTTATAGAAAAAATTCTGGTAATTTTTTTTTTGTATAATTAGTGGGTCTCGATTTAATTCATTTTTTGTTAGGACATTTTAAATAATTTTTGTGTGTAATGCACTGTTCATTTTTTTTAGCATGATAAAGAGTGTCGACTTTTTTTGCATAAAAAATCTTATGATTGATTGTTTCTACTCAACTACTTAAATTTTTTGATTTGGATATTGTATACGAAAATAAATTTATTTAATTAATGAAACAATATAAGTTTTATATTTATACTTATTATACACATAGGTTTTTAAATATATGATAGAATTTTACCAAAATAATTATTTTATGGAATCACGTTATAGTCAAATCGAATTTTTTGAATAAATTTTTTTTGAAATGACACATATTTTGAAACAAGTATAATGTAATTTATTATCAGTTATGTGCAACGCACAGGTTGTGTACTGATTTTAAATAGACATTTTTATGTAAGTTTGCACGATTTAAATTTTATAACATTTTCAATAAATTAATATAGGTACATTGTATTACATATTTCATGTTTCTCATTTATAAATAATGATATTTTTTAATTTATAAACATTGGTGAATATCTCTTACTCGTGCATCGCACGATTTGTACTAGTAGAAAAAAATAAAATAAGGAATATTAAATTGCTAGAAGTGGAATTATGATACACTGTGTTAATAATGTAATAATAAATTAAAAACGGCCATACGTAAATTGGTNTAATTGGTTATGTAGTTGGGCCAAGTTAATCGGTGGTAGTATAGTAGGCCCGTTAGTGAAATTGCTTGAGGGTATTGTGGGAAACCAGCATCTTTTGGGAGAATGGAAAAGGGCATGAAATAGTTGCAACAAATCTCTCTTTCTTATTTCTCTCTCTCTCCCCGTGTCTATCATCGTCCTCATTTTCCTTTCTCCTATTACAGTGGATTACTCGAGAATTTATTAGAAAATTACCTACTTTATTCCTAAATAATTACAAAAGACAACAGCATCTTGTTAAAATTTTGATTTACACTCCTGACTAATTAGCACTGTGGAAATTTTGAAGGTACTGTCGGACTTAAGGTAAAGAAATATGTCAGGTGGGCTTAACCGATCTTCAAGCGCTGCTTCTAAGAATGTCCTTCCTCCTCAAGAACTCCTGGATGATCTCTGCAGGTACATGTGTATTTATATACTACGGAATTTGTTTGTTGTCTCAGTTTGTGATATTTATTTATGTCATCACCATGAATCTATATTATTGAAATAGTAAAGTTGTAGAATACATTTTCCGGGTGTAGTTTTAGGGTAAATTGACTTATAATTATATTTTAACACTTTAAGGGATGGTAGAACACTCTTTTGTTCAGCTGAGTAGTAACATCAAAATTGTGAAAAAAAAAAATAAAAATTGAGAACTAATGTCAACATGAAAAAATCATGATTCCTGAGCTTCATTAAGTTTTTGGGGACCTTGTTTTCGGAAATGAAGATATATTGTAAGGGTTCATTGTGTTTCTGGGGTTTTTCTTTTTGGTTCCATTCAGACCAGTAGGTTGCCGTGTTGGTTATATGATTGGAGATGTATTGTTTCAGCGAAGAATTGGACTTGTTTGGGAAGGCCTTTGCTAACTGGTTCTTCTCTTCAGTCTAATTTTTGTTCTCGAATTAATTGCCAATTTTGGTCCTCTTTTGTATTTCTTCATCTTTTCTTTTTTTGCTTTATTCTTGTCATCTATTAGTATTGATAATATGGTACAAAGATAAAATGAATCCTTAAATGAGGAACTTTAGATTTGGTGACATTGAGAACAATAGCATTGACGTATGACCAGTCTGAACATTGGTTCACCTTGCCAAAGAGACAATGATTGAACATTCTGAGTACTGTATTATATTAGGAAATTTTGTTTTTTACTATCTAAACTATTTTGATATTTTGTAGCCGCTTTGTCCTGAATGTGCCAAAAGAGGATCAGCAGTCTTTTGAGAGGATTTTGTTTCTTGTGGAGTATGCACATTGGTTTTACGAAGACAATTCAGTTGAGAAAAATCCGTCTTTGAAGTCATTGACTTTGAAGGAATTTACATCTTTATGTATCCTTCAGGACATATATTATATGAATTACATATTTTTGCATCATTTATTTATTCAAGCATAGCAGAGGGATGAGTTTGTCATGTTGTCGGGAATTTTAAATACTTCTTCTAATTGTCACGATTTGTGTAACATCATTTCTTAGAATGTTGCATTTGTATTCCGTCATACAGTGTTCATCTTTCCTCTATTTAAGGATAGATGCTGGATTGGTAAAAATTTATATTTATGCGTTGAACTTACTTTGCAAGGCTCATTTTGGGTGTCCTTTTCTATGAACATGAGCTGCAAACAGGTTCTTATTTGGCACTTGGTTTATGAGATTCTAGTTCTCCTGAACTTTTTCAGTGTTTAACAACTGTGATGTTCTAAAGCCCTACGTTGCCCACATAGATGACATATTTAAGGACTTCACTTCATATAAAGTTCGAGTTCCAGTGACTGGGGCAATTATACTGGATGAAACTTATGAAAGGGTGAGACCTTCCCCCACATAATTATTGCTTGAACTTTCATTGGTGCTTAAATTGCTAAAAAGAAGTTCTGAATCTTTTGATTTCTGAGTTGACATTTTTCTGGTAAATTGATTTTTAATCTCAAAGTCTATACGTTATCATGAGAGAAACAGGAACCCAAAAATCTGATTGCTAAATACCTGTGTAATTTCAGAATTGTGTTCTTTTTGTATTTATTCGTTGTAACCGTGTCTCTCTTTTGAGTGGAGGCAACCCAATGTGTATGCTTTAGGATTTTAGATTGGTTCATCTTTCGTACATCTGATAATCTTGAGACTGCTAGGCCAATCATAATCATTGAATGCTGCAGCAGCAGTGATCCTACAGCAGACTACAGCTTCAAATCATTAGCTTGGTATCTTTGTACTCGAGTTGGAATTATTGTGTGTGGTCCATGTAAAAACAAGTCATATGACATGAAAGCTTTCAAATATTTGCGCTTTTAGGTAATTATTCCTATTAGATTAACTTTCAGTTTTATGTAAAGAGATGGAAATGAGCTCTCCTAATGTATTTGACAACTGGCAAACATTTATGAGTAAATTTTGTTTCTACCCTGATGCAGAGGATGCCTGAGACGATTTTTACCGTCATTCATTTTTTTTTTTTGCATTATATTTCACATTTTTTAGATTTCAAATTATTTTTATCGTATGCAGTGTTTACTAGTGAAGGGATGGAAAGGAACTAGTTGGAGCTTTCCCCGCGGGAAAAAGAGCAAAGACGAGGAAGACCATAAGTGTGCGATTAGAGAAGTGGGGGGTTTTCCTTTTAGCTTCCATTTATTTTATCTTGAGAGTCTGTTAATCTTTTCCTTCTGAGCGCATTACTAATTCTTCTTGAAAATGATTATTTGCATAGTTACTAAACGCACTAGTTGTTATGAGTTGTAAAAAATAAAATAAAATAGTTGCGATTGTACAGCTGCAATCACAACTAGTTCGTTGGTTCAATTAATAGCAAATGTATCTTATTTAAAGGTCAGACATATGGATTGCTGCGTTCTTCTGTAAATGCAGGTCCTAGAGGAAACAGGATTCGATGTTTCAAATCTTCTTAGCAAAGAGGACCACATTGAGATGATTTTCGGGCAGCAGAGAGTAAGACTGTACATAATTGCTGGGGTGAATGATGAGACATATTTTGCTCCACAGACTAAGAAGGAGATCAGTGTATGCCATATTCCTACTAGAAAATCTGAAACTATAGAAGTCCATGAAATTGCATTGACCCTCCAGTAGCTTAACTACCTTCTTGTTTACTGTCAATTTTTTTTTTTTTCTTATTCTTCTTGTTTACTGTCAATTTTTTACCTTAGTAATTTGGTTGTGGGAAGTTGAACAATCAGCTTATGTGCTCATGGTTGAACATGTAAAAGTGAAGTTAGAGTAACATCATTAATGTTTTGTATAACTGTTATATTGTAGGAAATTGCATGGCAGCGGCTGGATGAACTTCCAGCAAACAACGATGTCATATCTCGTGGGACAACAGGCCTCAAGCTCTATATGGTTTCTCCATTTTTGGCGTAAGTATATCATTGGGCATCAACTTTTGAAGTCTCTCAAACTCATAAATGCAAGGGATTTCATGATTTTTTGTGCAGTTCTTTGAAGGCATGGATTTCAGTGCATCCACCTATTGCTCCCAGATCAGATAAACCTTGCAAAGGTCTTTCTTTCTCGACTGATTACAACTCTTCTTCCTAGAAATGATTCCTGGCAAAGATCAGTCTATGATTGTTCTATTCTCATTTATCTTAAAAAAAAAAAAAATGCTCTGTTCACTACCTCCGTGTGGTTCCAATATCACAATAATAACTCGCTTTAATACTTTTCATCATCATGGTATTGTGGCCTCTTTGTTGAATCACACACTCGATTCCTCATTCTCTTGTGTGCATTTTCTGAACTATTTCAAGGAAAAACTGAAAAATAGTCTTGTTTTGCCTGACAATTTTATATCTTTATATCTGAAGGAATTAGCGTGTGGAGGGCTAAACATGGTTCTAGTGGAGGCAGCTCAACAGCAGTCGAGAGCCAGCTGAGTAGAGCTGTAGCTGATGTGCGTCCTCCTGAGGCTGTCCAAGTGAGAAGCTTCGTGAACTTCCGGTTTGACACTGGCCCAATATTACAAGCTATAGATCTTGCATTCTCTGCTTAAGTGGCCCAAGTATTCCTTATATAGAAATTTGCATGCATGCATATTATTTGAACCCTTTGAAAGGCCAGTTCCCTTAATTCTGACACATTTAAGTCATTAACGCGCCTTGGTGGCACTAGTTGATGTACATTTTGTTCCTAGTTTACTTTTGGCTTCATATGTATTATGTGCGTAGAGAATGTATTGGCGAATAGGTCAGTTTGATTATTGTATTTCTCTACTCTTTAGTTATTGGTATGGAGTGTTGGGTTGTTTACACTGTTGATAGCTTTTGTGAATTTATTTGAAAACAAAACCGTGGTTTTTGTTGAAGTAATCTTACTTGCCTTGTGTTGTTGTGATTTCTTTAGACATGGCCAAAACCCGGGCTGGGTCGCCGGGCTCGAAAACACTAACCCTGAACCGGCACGGACCTATACTCGTGCCGGGTCGTGTCCGGGCCGTGTCCGTGCTTTTTTAAAAAAAAGTATAAAAAAATAAAAAAAAAAATTGAAAAAAAGGGTCATCGACCCGGCCCGGCCCTGACCTTCCGGGCTGAGACATGAAACGAATGACCCTTACACGGCCCTTTTGAAATTCGAGCCGATCTCGGACCCGTGGTCAACGGGTTTGACCGGGCCGGGTCCGTGTCGAGTCAGGGCCGGGTCGGCGGGCCGGGCGACCCTTTGGCCATGTCTAGATTTCTTCATATTTGCAACTACCAAGATATCAAATTTTCAGTCCAATAGAGGTTTCTAGAGCCAAAGTTCTTCCATCACTTACTTTTCAGTTTGCGATTTATTGAGTTTCCAACTGCTTGACAAATCTTTTCATACTGTCGGCTCCTCTCAAGTAAGCACGAAACTCTAGGTAGATTTTATTCTTTTTCACGTCTGATTAGAAATTAGAATTTTTTGTAATTCATAAGCTACATATGTTTCGTGTGGCAACCCAATATATATTATCCTTAGTTTTTTTACGGTATACTTGACTATATGTTTTACCACGACTCAGTGCGCCAATGTTTCTAAATTAATGTTATGAAATAAAATTCTAAATATTATTCAACATAAAATAACGTGTAAATAATATTTTGAGTGCAACATATAGGCATGGAATTTTTAAATTAATTAATATTACATGAAATTGGATGTAAATGATTATTCCAAAATGCAAATTCATGACATTAAAATGCCAAGTCTATCCGTCGAATCTTTGCTTATACTATTGGTTCAAAAAAGTAATAATGTTTATAATTACATATATTAATTAATATTTTATCAGATAACATGAAAGTTATACTTTGAAATACTATGTATACGCATATTAATCAAGTATTTTTTGTACTTAAAAAATGAAATTAATGTTAAAATAAATAATATTTGCATATTACATTGATTAGTTTGTATAGGTTATCCCATAACAAAAAGGAGGTTAGTTTGACCCGGAAAGAATGTAAATTACGTAAATATTTTTTACTATAATTGAATCCTAAACTCCCGTCAAAATCCATAGGTCCAGGTTTCAACTAAACACAGTGAAAACAGGACATCCAACAATTGTTAAGGAAATTCGTCCATCCATCCATCCATCAACAAACAACAATATATAAGCCTCGACGTCCGGACATAAGAATAATATTGGCTGAAAAGAAACTAAAAAAAAAAAAAAAAAAAATCTTTTTTTTCTTTTTTTTTTGACAGTTGGTCCGTCTCCCAATTAATCAGTTGGCCATAAAAATATTTATTGGGAGAGGGTGAGAGTAAAATGGCCATGGGTGAAGCAACGAACGTGAGGGAGAAGACAAGCGAAGAGCAGGCGATAGATGATTGGCTTCCAATCACGTCTTCTCGAAAGGCAAAATGGTGGTATTCAACTTTCCACAATGTCACAGCCATGGTCGGTGCTGGTGTTCTCAGTCTCCCTTATGCCATGTCTCACATGGGATGGTATGTCTATCATGATTGAGAAAACGATATACCTCGTTTACTAAATCTATAATTATTTAGACATTCAAGGTTATAATGGACATTATACATGTAGTTTTTTCGGACAAAAAGGTCATTTTTTGTGTAGGGATAAAAATATCCCACCCTAAAAATGTAATAAAATTATCCTGCCAGTCATGGGTACAGGCGTGCGTCCACCTGCCACGTAGATGACACATAGGATTTATCCAATCCCGATCTCTGCTAGTAAACACCGGATAAGACTGGTTAAAGAATGTTATCCCATCCTAAAATATTGTTTGGTACGATGGATAGGATAAGATATAAGACTGCAATACTGTGTTTGATTAATTTGCAGGGGACCGGGTGTAACAATGTTGATACTTTCGTGGATCATCACATTGTACACACTATGGCAAATGGTGGAGATGCACGAGATGGTCCCCGGAAAGAGGTTCGACAGATACCACGAGCTGGGACAGTACGCGTTTGGAGAAAAGCTCGGGCTTTACATTGTGGTCCCCCAACAAGTGGTGGTTGAGGTGAGCACATGCATTATCTACATGGTTACCGGCGGCAAATCACTCCAGAAATTCCACCATTCCGTTTGCCCCGACTGCCACAACATCAAGCTCACCTATTTCATCCTCATCTTCGCCTCCATTCATTTCGTCCTCTCTCACCTTCCCAACTTCAACTCAATCTCCGTCGTCTCACTCGCTGCAGCCGTCATGTCTCTATCGTATGTATACTCAAAAAAATCTCCAAAATTAATATTATTTACAAATTAATTCTGAAAAAAAAAAAAAAAAAATCGCAGATACTCGACAATTGCATGGACAGCTTCAGTGGCGAAGGGGAAATCGGACAACGTCGACTATAGTCTTCGTGGTGAGAGTGCGGCGGCCAACACATTCAACTTCTTCAATGCATTGGGAGACATTGCATTCGCGTACGCTGGCCACAACGTGGTGCTTGAGATCCAAGCGACAATACCCTCGACGCCAGAGATACCCTCCAAAAAGCCGATGTGGAAAGGTGTCATATTCGCGTACATTGTTGTGGCGTTGTGCTATTTCCCGGTTGCAATAGGAGGTTACTATATATTTGGGAATGCAGTCGAAGACAACATTCTGCTATGTCTCGAGAGGCCCAGGTGGCTCATTGCAGCTGCTAACATGTTTGTCCTCGTCCATGTCATTGGCAGCTACCAGGTAACATGCGTCAGTGATGATTATTATATTTATCCTTTCAATTCTTTTTATAAATTTATATTGAACGTTTTGATCCATGTAGATATATGCCATGCCGGTGTTTGACATGATGGAAACATATTTGGTCAAGCAAATCAAGTTTAAGCCGTCCTTCAATCTTCGTTTCATTACTCGTACCACATATGTTGGTGAGGCTTTCGATAACTACCAAACAAATCTACTTTGTTAGAATTATTATTATTATTATGTGACTATTGAAATTTTTACAATTTCATGTGCTTTTCCCGTTTTAACGTTTTAATTAATTGATNATATAATACACCCACCTTGCTGCAGCTTTTACTATGTTCATTGCTATGACATTCCCTTTCTTCGGTGGTTTGGTTGGATTCTTCGGCGGTTTTGCTTTGGCCCCAACGACATACTTTGTAAGTTATATAAACCAGAATTTTTTAATTTTCACAATCTCATATATGTTATAAAAAGATATGAGATAATATTTAATTTTTATGCATAAACTGATACGAAATTTCCGATTTCAACTTTCCCAGCTTCCTTGCATAATATGGCTCATCGTACGTAAACCAAAGAAGTTCAGCTTCTCGTGGATTATTAACTGGGTAAGTTAGTAAAATACATTTGCGCGAGAGAGTGTGTTTGGTTGTCAAGGTTTTTGTTTTCATCCAACAATTTCGTATTTAGAGAGATTAATGGTTACTGCTAATATTTTGTTAAAACTACTATTTTGTATTCTTAATTTTCAGGCGTTCATCATAATTGGAGTTGCATTGATGACTGTAGCACCTATTGGCGGCTTAAGGAACATCATTCTATCAGCCAAGAACTACAAATTCTACCAGTGATCCATAAATCTTCGTTGTTCAGAAATTTTTAAAAAAATAAAAAAATAAATAAATTGAAGACACCGATTAGTCGAGTCATATTAACGTTCTTGTTATGTAGTATACAGTGATAATCACATTCCTAGACTTATTTGTTTTAACATAGATATTTATGTTGTTATTTGTATTGTAAGTATTATATTTCTGTTTTACGTTTTCTTGTTTCAATGCGCATACTATCGTCATCGTCATTTTTTTTTTACTAGCTAATCTCATTTAATAAAATATTAAATAAAAATATTTTTACTTTCCCTTCAAAAAGAGTTATATTTTTTATTCCTTATGAATATTGGATTCAACACCATTACGGGTGCCGAACTTTGGGGGCTTTTTCAGGGATTACAGGTGGCTTGGGAGTTAGGATTTCGGCAGGTTATAGCAGAGGTTGACAGTCAATGTGTGACAAAAATGATCGTTGGTCCTAGACAGAACTTCGGTGTCCATGATGCCTTGGTCCGGGCTATTCGGAGCTTGATTCAAAAGGAGTGGCGTATTCGTATTCATCACGTTCATAGGGAGGCCAACTATGCGGCAGATCACATGGCGGGACTAGCTTCATCATCCCCGCTAGGTTTGCATCGGATTTCGTCGCCCCCTCCGGGACTAGGAGCATGGCTTGACCATGACATTAGCGGGGTGTCCCACCCGCGTCGAGTCTTAGGCTAGTTGTCTTAGGCCCATGGCCTCCATCCTCTGTACCAAAAAAAAAAAGAGTTATATTTTTTTAATTAATTACTCACTAATTTCATATTTAAGAAGGTTTCTTTTAATTAAATCTAATTAGTTAATGACTAAATTAAAAAGGTTTCTTTTAGTTAATCACACATTTATGTTTCTTATTCTCATTTATATATACTAGTAAAGTGTACGTGCATCGCACGTGGTGGCGAATGGTTTTTACCGATTAAATTTAGTAAAATAAATAAATTAATTTATTAAACATATCATTGTAGGAACGAAGTAAAATATAGAACAAATGGGCTTCTAATAGTTTTTTTTTCTAGTAGTTTTTTTTTTTAATGACATAATATGTCCTAATATAAAAAGAATGAAATGACATATTACAACTCCGAAAAAAATATAGTCCCTAATGAAAAGAAAAACAGTAAATAACTAAATAAAAAGAGTAATTTTCTTTCATTTTGGTTTTCACGTTTTTATAAGAAACATTCATACTCGTTGGAGCCCAATACATCAATAGTATTGCAAAATTCTTATTAATTCATTTGACAAACGTCTACTTTATTCAAATACTTATAAATATTCTGGCCAAATCAATTTCATGATTGTATGATCTTTATAAGGTATTTCTACTGACAGTTCATGCAAATCTTTGTAAAATAATAACCAACAGTATCATTAAATTGGTGATATTTTTTTATAATTATATAAACTACTTCATTACTATGTCCATATATATAGACAAATTGGTACCTACCCCATGGAGGCATTGCCCCACGGGGTGAGAATGAATTTCATCTCCAAATAAAAGTTAACTTTCAAAATCTTGGTTACATGTACTTCTCTCGAGACGCTAAATTACTTTCTGAAACCATCACATTACATAAAGTACGTACTGTAAAATAATTGCACATATCTTCGAGCAAATACACAATGAGATTGTAAATACTCCTATAAAAAAAGGACAATTTCATTCAAACATTCAAGAATGTTTTGATCAAGCTTTGACATTTTTTTTTTAATGCTATTTATTTGAAAGACAAACGAACTATATAATATACTTTGTAGATCATTGATTATCTTAGTTGTTGCAATGATTTTAGCGTTGTTTATCATAATATCTTTCACATTCATTCGAATTTGCAGTATTTACGCGCCTAATAACCTTTTTAATGCTTTTATTGTCCAATTTATTTGAATCATACATAATGCTTCGAAAATTCAAGATAAAGATCCTTTCTTGGACAATAAATAAAAATAAAAATAAAATAAAAAATAAAAAATAAAACAAAATAATGAGACAATATTAAGAAGCATATATCATTTGTTAAATGTTTGAGAAGAGAAGAATTGTAATTTTATTATATTATGATATTCTTAGTCGCTCTGTGAGCTTTATTATTACGAAGTTATTATAAAAATTTACGTTACGTATTATAAAAATTTTTATTATTTTAATTATATTTAAAATTCTTGATAATATAGGATCATTATTTATGATAACTAATTTCTTACATAGTCATATATTTAGACTCTAGCAAAACAATTTAGTAATTTTAAAGGACTTTGTTTCTAGATATTGGTATTCATATTTTTTTAAAAAATTTCAAACTTTTTCTTTTCCCATTCAATTACTATTTTGTTTTATTTGTTTCTTATTCAATTCACAAATAATATTTATTTGTTAAAATAATTAGAACACATTTATATGTATTGCGTCTACTTTATATAATGACGCTGTAATCAAAATATATTATTTATTAGGGTACAACAAATATAATGAATTATGATAAATACTATTTAGTATTACTTATTTATTTAGTTATAAAAATAATATATTTGACAAAAAAATGTACTTTTATACTGGTTATAAGATTAAAAAGTTTAGGATTTTTTTCATTGTTTGATAAAATATTAAGTAATTAACTCATTTCCGTATTCAATGAAAATATATGTTATATGTTACAACCATTATGGTGTTCCTTTCATGCAGTAACTGAATAATTGTTTAAAATACAACTCATTTATTTCTCCTTTTAATTCACATAGTTAACGTTGGTAATAGATGTAAGTTTACATCCATTTTGTACGTTTTTTCTTATTTGTATGAATATTTCAAATCTATGTAAGTAAAATATAACACAAGTTTATCTTATGTTTTTTTTTTCATACTTAATAAAATTTGTTTAACATGGATTTATAATTTATTTTATAAGATAAAACTTATGTATAGAACTAATAAGCACAAAAAATTAAGAAAGAAACAAAAGAATCGGTGCTCTTTCAAGAAAATTGACCTTTTTCTAGAAACAGTTTATTATTAAAAATATAAAATAAGATGGATATTATGTATTATTAATTTGCCATTACAAATATGTCAAAGGTGTTTTTTTATTATTAAAAATATAAAATAAGATAGATATTATGTATTACTAATTTACCATTAAAAATATGTCAAAGTAAAGGTGTTTTAGGTAAATCATTATTTTTACAAAATTAAAAATATAAAATAAGATGTGTATTACTGTATTACTAATTTGCCACTAAAAATATGTCAAAGTAAAGGTGTTTTAGACAAATCATTATTTTACAAAATCACTCGTCCTTTTTATAATATAATATAATATATAGTATAGATATAGATATCGATAGATAGATAGATAAACGTGGCAGTCATTATTGTTGTGCAGAAACTATATATTATTATTTTTTATTCCATTATAAATTGAATAAGCAATTAAAGTTATAAAAAAATATTAATAAATGTATTAAATACAAACATTATAATACATATCATGTTACATTACAATATAAAAAATGAAATTATTTTTTTTGTAATTTAATTTCCAGCCATACTCCATCAAACATATAGGTGCAAAATGATAAGAAAGATTAGTTTCATAATTAAAATTAAAAATTTAGCTCCCCCAAATGGTAAAACCTTATAAATTAGTAGTACATATACATTTAAATGACATGTAATTTATAAACTTAGACTATACGCATAATAAGATGAATTAAAAAATAATAATGAATTAAATAAATAAATTATTATTATAACACATTCTATATAATTATTATAGCAAAGTCTATATTGTCAATATTATCATTTAAAAAGTTCATTGAAAAAACATATGTATAAAAAAAACCCATATGATCATAATTAATAGTGCAAAATTAACTATCTTTGACTTTCCATTTGGTAGTAATAATAAAATATTTTATATTACTACTATTCAATAAAATGCATGATTTCTGTAGATTTGATTATCGCAATCAAATTTTGTTTTATAAATTAAAAAGTGTACTGAATAAATTGTCTCATATTTTTCATTAAAAAGAAAAAACTGTTGGCCGTGAAAAAATATTATTTCACAATTATAAATATAAATATGATTAATTTTCACTAAACAATTCCTCTTTAAGAAAAAAGTAGCGGGACAAATTTCTGCATGATTATAGCCTCAAAACATATCCAAAACATCAATATTTTAATGCATTAAAAACCATACTTTCAGCAACAGAAAAGTCATATTAAACGGAAATTGGCAAAGTCAAAGAATGAGGATTGACAAGGCATTGTATGTAATGGCAGATTGTTGCATAATATAGAAATATCAAGCATAATTAATAATCAACAAAAAAAAGTCAAATCTATATAAAAAAATCAAAATTAAAAACACAGCAAATTATGTGGAACATTATTGGACACTATACAATATAGAAAGAAAAATAATTTGATTTCCCTATCATTATCAACACATTCAACTTTTACCAAGACATTTGCCTTTATATTAAAATCGATTTTGTGCGCAAAAGTTTTAAAAATAAAAATTTCTACAGATTCTTTTAAACATTAAACAAGAAATTCCTAATATGCGATAAATATATCTAAACAGATTTGTTATAAACTTACCTAATATTTCCAAATTTTGAATAAAATATTAAAAACTTTGAAAAACTTCAGCAAAAGACTTTGAACAACTTTGGAAAGCGATTTTGAATAAGTGTTAGCAAAGCTTCACTTACTGTTATGATGAGAAAGGCGAGAAAGAATTGAACTATTTAGTGTTCAAAATCTGAACTAAATACATAAAAGTTACATATGTATGTTATAAACAGTAATGTATAAACTTACCTATATATTTGTTAGTAGAGCTGAACAGATCTGTTAGAAACTTACCTATTTTTTCAAACCCTGAACAAAATACATAAAAGTTTGACCAATGTCATGTTCTATTCGAAAAACGATTTCGAAAAACATCTAAATAATTTTGAATTATGTATAAAATATGATATATCTTTGAAGCTTATTCACAAAGAATTTCGAAAAACGACACAGATCATTGAAAATAATAAAAAATAAAAACTACGTTTAAAAAAAAATTATTTCAGCTCTTCATAGATTTGTAATATTATCGCTCGATTTTGACCGACCTGTTAAGATTTAGCAACACAGATTAAGAAATCAGGACGAATCTTTATTTTTCGATCACTACTGTTGGCCACAAAAACAACAT